GAAAGCTCATCGACGGAATTCATTTGTTTAGTCAATTACCAAAATTTGGATGATTTTGAATATTCACTTGAAAAGTTATCAAAGAAAAACATTTTTCATTTTGTAACTTCGAGGGCCCGTAACTTGGTTACGAAGACTTTTAGGAAAAAAAAGTTATATGAAGTACTGGTGATATTTTGACCCCATCTATACATTCCCGAGAGGAAAAGAGGAAGTCCAGGGACACCCTGTATAAACATAATAGTATATTACGTACCAAGTAGGATAATTGTAAGCACGAGGCATTAGCCGAGTGCGTTAATTGGCGAGTGGACGTAATTGGTCTTATTCTGGAGGTAAGTACTATACTTTTTCTATGACTGACCGTAGACAGGAATGGTACAATATATTTTTTTGAGATTATGGCTTTGGATAACAAACTCGTTCAGTCAGTCAGTCAGAACTGACACGCCTTACCGCTGAGCTACTCTGGCCATTACCAATGTGATGTTTGATTGTGATATAGGTACTAAACATAATTGATATTCACTTTGTGAGTGAATGATTAAATTTGAAGAGTAAGAAAAAAGCGGAGTTGTGTTACCTTGGAAAACAAATATTTGCCTTCTGGAGCTTCCTTAATGAATTGATTTATTTGTTCACTGATGAGCGTCGATGATTTCTTCGGTTTATAACCATCAGATTTGCGTTTTAGAGAGGCATGTAATTTGGAATATTTGCTGACGTCCACATTTTTCTTGAAATTCAAGGAACTTCTCAGCATTGAGTAAATTGCCCATAATGACAATGGTTTCAAAGTTTTTTCTGGATTTTCTAAATAAACGAGAACATTTTCGGAAAACGAAGTTATGTTTTTCTTCTCTCTTCAACTCATAAAATTTTCGAAAGTATCGTATTTTTCTCTTGATTTTGCTGGCAGCAAATTATTCATCGCAATATTTTCTTGCTTGGTAATATCTGGTGGGGTAGCAACAAATTTCATGATCGTTATCATTCATTTTGAACTTTTACAAGATACTGAATGACAGCTCATAATCAAAACAAATGGTTGTTGATACACGGATATAACTAGATTAATTACCAACCCAATCAATTCACAAAAATTATGATTTTTATTTTGATTTTTCAGAGAATTTGGAGAGAAAATTCACTGACTTTGGCTTTTTGACAATTCAATGTATTCATGAGATCATATTTATCAGTGGCCACCAATAATTTAGAATACGTGTGTATAGTAGGGAGTAGAAAAGAAAATTTACATGTCTCCAACTACTATATTGAAACATCAGAAATACTCAATCAACTCATGATAGCCCCCAAGAAAACTGTCAGCTAGTCCTGAAGGAATTCCTTTGCAATTTTAAAATAACTGCATATTTACTTTAGCAAAACCCTTACAAACAATACTCAATTTTTCTTTATCTATGAAAACCTTTCCGGAATTCTGGAATTTTTCTAACTCCAATCCACAAATCTGAAGATAGAGTCACTGGACTGTTTGATACACAACACAACAAAAAAATATTTTTTGAATGTTTCCTACACTAAATTAGTCAATTTCTACTAATTTTGGGGTGATAAAAACGAAAATAACAATGAAAAATTTTTATTAGCTCTGGTTTTTGAGATACACAGTACTTAATCTTAAAGAGTAGTTATACTATACGTGAAAAGTGAAAGTACATAAAACAATATTGTT